GCTCGTAGTACCACAGAGAATGAAAGAAGTACAAAAAAGCAAATCTACAGGGAGAAGAATGAGATGAAACGTGATCATTAAAATTGAGAAGATGACTTTAAAGTTCAATATAAAGGAGGAATGCATAGATATTTCTCTTATCTGAATATTTTTAACTTCTTAATGGCAAGAAATGAAGCAGTGAACCATACAAAAGTCACCTGGGCGTAAACCAAGAGGCCTGAGTTCAATTTCATGCATTTAAATCCTCACTCCTTCTCTAACCAAACAAATGAATAAGGCAAAGTTATACGATCGCATCAGCTTTTCAAGAGACGAATGTCAAAATCATTTAAAGCTCTTTCATGTTTAATTTAATTTATTTATAATAAAATGCTAAAACCAGTATGACGCAGCGTGGGTGGGTATTCAATCTTAGCGTGATTTCTCGATCTCTGAAATTCTCACCCCCTCTTTCTTTTAATGAAAACCCGTGTAATTCAAATTATGCAACAGCAAAATAGCTACATATTGAATTTGACGGTGTAATAGCGCCTAATACTAATAAAATAGGCACTTAAGTAATCATACACCTATTGTGAATTTACAAAGGTAAGGACAACATTGGCTGGATAAATCAAAGATAATTTGACACCCTAAAATAGGTCCAAATGACATCGACATCTTGTGAAAGGGTGAGGAGAAAAAGAAAATCTCAAATACATTTTATTGCACAATTATCTGAAGCTTTCTGAGAACGATTATCCACGCCAAGTGACTGCTTGAGAGATATTCTTTAATTTGGATTAAACATTTCATATAGAAGCATGATTTGGATATTTCGTAAAATATTTTTAAAAAATAGAAAACTGTCGGGTTATTGAGTTTTTTATTGCAACAAAAAATGTTTAGAAGAAATCTCCCAAATATAAATAATCCAAAAATGAATAATTTTATGCGTAATTTTGAAAAATTATTTTTATTTATGGGCTTAAGATTTATATTTTTTAGTTTGGCTTAGATATGGGAAGTACTGCCTAAGGAAAAATAGACACATTCTATCATTCATTTCAACCTAAGCGTGTTCATACCTGGAGTACTAAGGTACAAAGTATTAAAATTATTGTTATTGTTATTATTATATATTAGCATTATCAATGACATTTTCTAATTCAAGTTCTGTTACACCTGCTATTTGGAAATCCCTTTTGTGTCAGTTTACCCACCAATATCCTACATAACTTCCACCAAAATTTTAATGAATTTCCTTTATTTCAGCACTACAGACACCAAATAGGACAGTAAGACAAAAAATGAAATTAATGCAAGAATAAAATTAAAAGAAAATTATAAATTTCTGTAAAAGTGCATTATTGTTGAAGAAATATAAATTTGCAAAAATTCATTAAATGATTGTTGAGTGCACTAAAAAAATATAGACAAACTATGTGACGTAGATAACTTAATACAAGGCTCGTTAGCACTTGTTTTTTAAATTAAAGAATGGATCTATATTTTTACAGTATTGCTTTCGTGTTATATTGTATCAATTTATCAAGAAAGATTTACAGTCACTACTCAAGGTGATTTCAGAAAGTGATGGATGTGAATTTGACATTATCTTTTGGTATTTCAAACGACTGCAATTTATCTTGCTTCATAGGATGCACAAAGCACTCTAAAAACCCACAGTAGAGACGATGAAGAAATGTGTGCTCATCTTCACGTTTTTGCTCCAAAAGATTCAAGAGCAAAACTAGAGAGTAACTCTCATGATGGAAAGACACTAATAGTCGACTAATGTACTTTTTATTCCCGAACTTGACCTGGCAGGCTTGTCAGATACTCTTGTAATATGCCAGTAGAGTAGAACATCTCCCATTTAACTGTCTATGGTTTGTCAAAAACTTTAGAAGCTCAATATGCGTTGGTTTCATGAATGTAAATTTCGAACCAAAATAATTTTAATCCTTAAGGACAATTGTGGTAGTAGCAGTTATTACATATTGTAGTTGATTTCTTTTGCCTATTTAGAGACTAATGGCTTGAAATAAGTCCTCATATCACTTTGGCCATGCGTTTATAATCTTAATGTCGAAAACAACTGAATAACTATACGACTTATGATTTCTGCAAAAAATAATTAATTATTTATACTTTTGATGGTTATATTTGTTTAGAGAACATTAGTAACAATAATAGAATTGTTTCTCAAATTCAAATTCAAAATTAATTTCCTTTATGTTAATTATACTTTACAGAACAATCCATTTAGCTACAAATTGTGGTTTAGGGTGAAATGATGGAAAAAAGTTAGCGTCCCTCCGACTGTTTTGAAACGATATGATCCCAGTGTTCCAGTTTATAGTTAGTGTTCAATATGGAGATCTCTATGCGAGAAACGAATGACTCGACAAAATAAACTCGAAATATTTAGTCAACATATTCAGAAGCCTGCATCACTAAAAAGAGTTACATATGTATTAGAGAGAAAGTTATATAATGATCCGTAAAATCGATTTCGAGATTTCAAAGGAATTTCACGTTTTGGGGGTCCCTCCATACTGAAACGTCCGTCTGTCTCCTCGGTCGTCTGCGAACAGCATTAGCGCCTAAGCAAATATAAGGAATTTTGTAAAAAATAATATTCCCCAGTGAATATAAAGCCTCAAAGGAGTTGTGATTAAAAAAAAAATTTCAGTGTACGTCAGATGAAGCGGTTGGGATCTTCACATGTTTCCTTAAAAATGGATCGATATCGTTCCTTAAATTTCGTGTAAGAATAAAGTGAACACGCTTATAAAGATGACAAAAGTCAAATTTTTACGGTTTCCCCATAATTTTCGAAAATGTACTTACGTTTGAAATTTTTCTCAGAGAAAAAAAATTTTATCCACTAGACTCACTATTATGTGAGTTCGAGTATCTTGTCAGTCATACAGAACGTAATCATTCACAGAGTAATTACTTCCTTGATACATCTCAAGAGCTGTTTATCACAAAAAATACATTCCTTGCGAAAACTTCGAATAATCCCAGTATTTTGAATCCAATATAGGAGGTAGGGCGAGAGCAAGGTCGCGCCCCAATTTCTTCGCAAAATTGTGAATTTATTGTATAATAAAGTACACATATTTGTTGTCCATGCAAATCTTTATTTTTGATTAATCCCTTGCATACCAACTTTTTTGCATTCTTGGAATATCAAAGGGCAAGGAAATTACCGCACGGAAAATAAAAAAAAATAGCTAATATGTTTATTATGGGAGTGAGTTTTCTTGAGCTCCCAAATCCATAGTCCCCTGGTGACTAGGAATCCAAAGCCCCCTGACCAGGATTGATTAATGAGGAATTTCGAACACGCCAGTGGCTAAATCAACTAGTTCCGTAATTGTAGTGAATGTTTTTATTTCGGCAGATGGCTGTAATCTTTCCCCGCTGGCCGACGAGATTCTGCACAGATCTATGTCAGCTTGCGGGAATTTCCCTAACCAGGTATATGCCATTAACAGGGCACCGCGCCAGCCGGGACGAGCTCTACGCCACCGACTGGTCTCTCGACAGGCGTGGCTGTGTTGTGCATATGCGTGTAAGGGTGTGAGTAAGAATTGAGAATACGATAAGAAAGAGGAAGGAAAGATCGCGCGCGGTCCTTGGCCCGTCTGATAGGGTACTGCTCCGCATTCGCCTGGTGATGATCGAAGAAACTGTGGGAAACTACCGATCCGAGAACAGCCGGAAGCTAGAATTCCTCTCCAGACAGAGGCTGAATTTGGCCTAGCTGCCTAGCGTCGAAAATACGGCCACCGTCGGGACTGGAAAGGATTGGAAGGATTCTCTGTTTGGCGTTAAGTGTCTGCTCGCCATGTTGTTTAAGTGCCACTTCGCAAATGAAAGTCCTGTTTCAAACAATTTTGGCTGTGCATGTCAGTTTAATGTGTATTTCAATAGTGCGGTAACTACACGAACTGTAATTGATATTGTAATTTGCGTTATAAGTTATTAACTGCGCCTATTCACCGAGGCGTCAACTAAAAATCTGTATTAACTGTAGTGTTCTGAACAAAAGTTTGTCTCGTGCGTGAGCAGAAACTCTCGTATGTTGCTAAGCGCATGTATAACGATCCACTCGGCACTTTACCACTCGGCTAGATTTCAAGGAATCAACACTTCAAACACCATTATTTTTTTAAGCGAATGTGACTCTTTTGCCGAAGCTAGTGTATTTAAATTAATGAAGGGTTATGTTCTAATCATATTTGTGCGTGCGAATATTGTACGGAATATTCCAATAGCCCTATCCTATTCAATTAACCCTAAGGAGCTATCTTAGGATTTTGGCCACTATGTGCAAACCAACTCAATACACAGTCCACTTTCAATTTATCCCTGCACTAAAGCAGACAACATTTACTCATGCTGGTAAAGCACTTCTGTATAGATTGACCGTACAAATTGAAATGTCTGTCAGTAATTTCAAAACAACTCGTTTTTTGTAATATTTTATTTTTTATAATAAGTGTTTTTTTAAAAACCTCTTGTGTGGCTCGTGGGTTAGTGTGCTGGCTTTCCGCGGCGCAACCCGGGCTCGATTTCCGGCTGAGGCAAATTATAAATGTGTGCTTTCCTTTCTAATGTCCCGGAATAAAATGTTGTGTGACAATGTAGAAAGCCCACCATATGTGTTATGAAGACCATAATATACGGTGAAGGGATGTCTGCGTGCTAACCACACAAACGCCTCATCCCACGGCCGAGAGGTTGGATCACCGCTGTTCGGCCAAGACCCGAAGAGGGCTATCGAGACACAGAGCAGGACTGGTTATTCACAATTTGGTTATGTTTCAATCCAATAGCGCAAGTAGACTACCGGTTATTGAAGTCCAACATTATAACTGTCGAATGGAGTCGAATGTCGCTGGAGTATTCTTGTGGGAGTAAGGCTGCATCTTTCAAAACACTGTGAGTTTAGTTAGTTCCAGAGATATCACTACTAAAGTAAATAAAATAAAACGATGTTTCTGCTGGTTATATGTGTAGGTTTATTGGCATCGTATTAAAAATCACAGGTACATTGTGGCGTTAGTTGTCCTAGTCAGTCACGGTAGCAGTCGAGACTTCAGCCGTTTCAGAGGTCAGGCGTTTACCAGAGTCCATATGGGCGGTAGCGGTAGGCATACAGAGACGTGTAAGGATAACCTGAAAACAAAACACCAATTAATGCTCGACTTATTGCTGCTAAAAAAGACATTTCACTATCGTTTCACAATCATTTTAAGATTATATAATACATTTTCTTTGTTACTTTTACCATTAATAATGTCACTTATCATCCATGATCATTGATCTTTGGTGAGTTAATTGTTCTTCACTTAGAATAGTTATATTGCATTTAAATCCAGTGTAAAATTTGTAAACATGGTTCTAAATTTTAGAATCTTTGTACATATATTACACTCCTTATTTATTGAATTTAGAATCTATACGGACATACACTCATCGTACTGAGTTTTCTCCGTGTCCCTGCATACCTGCACTAAGACTTCCACCCTTTCGGGTTTTCCCATTGTATCTGTAACGGAACATTTACCTTCTGAAGTTTAACACTACTCTAACCGTACAGGTTTACGCGTACAGACATTGACAATTTTGTCAATCACCACCAGTAGTCCTTTCAATGATTAAGATATAATTGCTTTTGTTCGTTCGTAATACCTGCCATGATATGGCTTCATTCGCTTGGCGTTTAGCGTGCAGTGAGTCCCAGTAGGAGCACGATTGCTTGATTATCGTGGCCTTTACAAAGACCTTATACCAACCGATTGTTTTTGAAAAATTTTGTAGATTATTTTCTCAACACGATTTGTTCTTTCTAATGATAAATAGATTTCAACCCTACTTGATCACGTGGCGGAACATTCCAAAAATGAAACAAAATTTTGTAGATGGCAAAATTCTTTTAAAATTTGGTTCACTCATAAAATGAAACTCCAACGCTTTACCATCGATATACTTGTTACCCTGTAATCATTGCGCATTCTAAACGTCTGGTGTTGATGAAACCGTTGCGAGAACACCTTTGCTGCCCAAAGACAAGGAACGTGTAGTAGTAGATTATTGTACTGAATTGGCAAACATGTCGGCTACCCCACCATACTTCGACCCTGGTCATATCCGCTTAGTAAGTAGTAATATGTTGACTGCTTGGCAGTCACAGCATCCGAGGAATCTTTAGAAAGGATGCAGGCGTCATGCGGCAACAACCAAGTTTCTGTTGACTCCACCCACAGAAGCATACAGTACATCTTCGTTGAGCGAAAAGCTTTCTAAATCTTCTAATACTTATGTAACATTCACTTCTGTGGAGGTTCTCAAACCGAGACCGTAAACGCATTCAGTACAAAAATTAACAGTGCACTTACACATTGGGATATGTGAGACAGAAGACAAAAATTTGGTCGCTTCAATTACCGGCTACGGAGTACAGAGGACAATTCTGCGAACTTTCGGCAGACAAACTCTTATTACAGGACCTTCGTAACGAAACAAAAAATCTAGTTGCTAAATTTAGAAAAAAAACTCTCTGACACATGGTGTACCCAGAATCCATGAAACTACCGACCAATCGAATGACGGCAAAATGTCTGTCTGTTCGTCCGTCCGTCTGTCTGGCCGTCTGTCTGATTCGATCTATGAAATCGATCTGGCTGATTTTGTGGACCCTAGAATTTGATATTTTAAATTTTTGGGAGGTGGTACTTTATATGAAGCGGCTGGGACATTTTCAATTTTTTTAAAAAAAAATGGCTCCATCGAATTTTATTAAATTTTGCTGTTGCATAGTGTGAATAACATTTAAGAGATTGGTGTAGATTTTATGTTCGTTAAAAACCCTTATTTTTCGAAAATTGCAAAAGTTCATAATTTTTAAGTTTTCGTAGTGCAACATAAAATATTACAAATAGAGATTTTTCCCTTTATGGAATCAGTTCTTTAAAGTTAGATTATGAAATAAAGTCATGTACAATTTTTTGAACATTTAAGTACTTTTCGCATAATTATGCATCAAAATACGAACGAAAAAGTACATGCTGTTTTAGCACTACTAGTTTTTTGAAATGTTTGCTGCTCTCTGATTTCCTGCTTCACGCAAAATTAGTTAATTCTGGTGTCCCACAGGCCCCAGTGAGTATCACGAGTAACAAAAACAGTGTGTAAGTGCAGAGCTAACCTCCATTCCAGGCGAGAGGTAAACCTTACCGTAAGGGTACGCGTAGCCATAAGGGTAGGTGGCGTAGTAGGGGAGGCCGAAGCCGTAGTAGTTGTAGCCCAGGCCGAAAGAGGCCTCTGCCTCCAGCGTCTCCGGCACTTGTTTGGGGACGGGGGCGGGAACGGGTATCGCCGCTGCCGCCGCCAAAAGCACGCACAGGACCGTCACCTGCTCAAACACACGGTGGAAGGCAATTAGTTAACACTGGAGGCAGCCTGTAAGTTAACACAACCAATTATTAAAAATTGAAAACTTAATCCTGCAAAGATATTGGGGAAAAAATAACCGGCATATTATTATTTTTCAAAAATAATCAGTGTTCGCACAAAATTTCTGGTTGCACTAAATTCCGCAATCATTACAAGTCAGTTAATAAAACAGATATCAACACAAGCATTTATTCCGAATTGGCTGATTGGTTGTAAAGCTGTATTCAAAATTCGCTGCAAACATTCGAAAAAGAATAAAATTTAGATTTATATTTTTAAATATATTTTTTAACATATTTAAAGCATGACATATGGTAAGTAAACTTCATAAAATTAAAAAATCGAAAGTGAATAAGATATAAATGAATGCTTAATGTGTAATTGGCCTTAAATTAATGCAAGACAACTCTTCTAAAAAAAATAATACTGTCGCTCCTATTTTGAAAACGTCGGTATTTTATGCTACCTCTAACGAAAAATTGTGCAAAGGCTAATGTTTAGAATTTCAGATATTTTCTCAGACAATATTGCAGAGTCTGCATTAGAGCAGTAAAAATGTGTCGCGAATCAAAACACTTTCAAAACCCTCGCCGGAGAAAGATTCAATAGCGCTCGAGCAAACGGTAGGAACAACGAAGAAATACTCGTATATTAGCAAAAATAGAGAAATACACTAATTGAATAGCTCTTAGCTAGCAATTTGGCTGGGCAAAATGAATAAAGACAAAGTAAAAGAAAAAAGAAGAGAAGAAAAAACAAGCAAATGAAATGAATGGTCCGACAATATAAAAATTAGAAAAAAGAAAAATGAAATAGAACCAAAAAGAAAATGATTTAGCGTATTCTGTATAAATTACATACATCAAAACAAAATTCATTACTTTGTAAATAATGTTTAATGAAAAGTAGCTTCATGTTGGACACCAAATTTGAACGTTTCTGGTTAGGGATAGTAACGCGAAGAGCTAAATCTACAAAATATGACAAGATTCACAAAAGCTTCATTTTGTAGATTGAAACACAATCCTTCAAGAAACCTCAAATTTGTAGTTTAAGGAATAGAATACATCGTCTTACAGCTATCCACGGTTGGAACGTTGGAGGATATGAAAATAATCCAGCACTAATAAAGAGCAGAGTGCTGAGAGAGTGGGGCGCTCACCGTCTTGAGCAGGGCCATGGCGGAGGGAAGAGCGCTGTCTGCGGCGTAGGTGTGAGTATGTGTGTGTCGGGGCTGAGGACGCCGTCGGGGCTTTATAGAGGCTAGGCCAGCGCCACCCCTCCCCCTCCCATCCCACGCCACTCCCCGCCAGGTCACGCTTCCCGCAAGGCGCTTCCCGCTTCCCACTTCCCACTTCCCACCTCGCCGCGTGCGGTGTCGACAAAAATCCAAGGTCATGGCGTCTGAAGCAAATTAGAAGGCACGGGGGTGTTAGAATTCTGGAACTCTGCAATTCGCAAAAATATCCTGACTTAGAAATATGCATTTGCTGTTTATTCGTCTTTGAGGTTATTAGAATCTATTCTATGTTTGTATCTTTCATAGTAGGATTTAAACTTTCAAGTATTTTAGGATTATTCTATAATATTCATCACTTACAATTTTTATTGTTTCTTAACCTTAAATAAATAATATAACTAGCTACCTACCGCCAAGATGGGCTTATTGGGTGCAACTTCAGATTTATTTACCAGAGAATCCCGGAGAAAGAGTAACTCTAACAACCGAGAAGGAGGAATAATGAATCTCACAATATGACGATAGAAACACAAGGAGGGTATAATTTGGTATGTCGAGCGCCTGGAGCAAAACTAAATAAATAAATAAGTAGTAAATCAAAAATTACCCGGTAATATGTGTGGGTAATATTATTGATGGATATTATTGATTGATTAGTGATTACATAATCCAGAGGTGTGATAATTTGTGGATTTCTGATGCATATTCATTGTGCACCAAGCAGTCGTTTACTCCTCGTCATTCCATTGCAATTAATGCGTTAATACTATTAATGTATCTTGTGCAGAGCACTACTTACAGAAGGTTTCATCACATTTCATGACTTGTTCCGTTGATGAACATGATTGATAAGGGGGAGGGCACTGTGATAGATTATTTTATTGTGGGAGATGAAGGAAGAGTGATCGTAATAGAAATGATAATGAAATATAGATTTGAAGCTAATCATATGCCTATTGAGATCGTTGTGAATAGCAAGATAGAATGTAACAATGAAAGAGGTAATATAATATGGAAATAAATTGGAGAGCTGGAAGAAAAATATAAAAAAAATTGAAAGATGTTGTTAGAAGAATGATGGCACAATTAAAACAAATAGTAAAAAGTAGTTCTCAGAAATAAAATATTATTAAGGATAAAGTTGAATGTAAGAATAAATGGTGGGATAATCAGTGTGTCAATGGAAGAAAAGTTTATTTAGACATGTTCCCAGACAAATTCATACCACTTATATTCCTGGTATCAATTTACAAGATATAAAAGAAACAATGAAAACGAACCATTTGTAACTATCGATCTCCGCAATCAGAACAGCAGTTCAACAGGCTTTGGAATCACCAAATAAATCACTGGCAGCTATTGTGCAAGAAGTAATTAACGCATTTGCCAAAAAGGTAATACTGTCCTCGTTTTCTCGTGGCCCAGAATACCTATCCCATTCCTCACTAAGGATTAAGAATAAATGACAGCAACGAGCGATGCTGACAAAATCTGCTAATCAGACATGATCGCTTCCGGTTGATAGAAACTGCATTTTGCATCGAAAAACGACTCACAGATATGATATATTCCTGTCGTCAAAATAAACACACTCCTTTCACATCATATTAAATTAGAGCTTAAGGAAACATGCGCGGTTAATACTTCTCGTGGTAATGTGAGAAAGGCGGGCACTGTTACGAAAAGTAAATTTTCGCTGAAAGAAAATAAGGTCGTTGTCGAAATCTACTGTTGCCTTGGAGATAGTGTATTTACATGATATCACCTCAGCAGGACAAATCCTTGATTTCGAGTTGGGTGCTATCACTTATGGCACTCAGACCTATTATTTTAGGAGATATAACCTTCAAATTGCCCTTCCAAATCAGTTGCGTACCCTAAATGGAAGATAAATAAAAACGTACGAATTATATTCTTTGGTGTACTGTATGTGACTTGGTAAAAGTGACAAACTTATGCAAATATCGTTGCAGCCAAAAGCCAAAAGGCGTGAGCCAAAAGGCAAAGGCAAGAGCTTCGTGGAGTACAAAGTTTGAAGGTTTCCAGAATCTCCCCACTACTGTCCTTGGGTATGCTCTTGTTGCTGATCTCAACTTCTCCCAAGCTGATGAGACGAATTGAAGTCGAAAAGTATAGCAAAATATGACGTAGGCGTAAGCCAAAGAATATGTTTGCTAGTGTTTGCCGAAGGGTATCTTATTCAAAACACCTTGACCAATGGGTCCCAAATACCACTCAGAAATTTTGAGTTTTGGTAGGGTTGCCAAGGTCTTGGGATGAATTTTGAACCCAAATCGGCGGTCACTGCAAAATGGGATAAATGAAAGACCCAGTTTTGCTAATCGTTTTGAACTATTCGGTTTTGCTGTACTGTTTCGTCTTCAATTCGTCTCATCAGCTTGGGAGATGTTGAGATCAGCAACATGGCTGACCGCATACCCAAGGATAGTAGTGGGGAGATAATGAAAATCTTCTTTATTACAAGTCATTGTGAAAAGTTGAAATATTAAGTGAAGCTTCAAATAACTACATATATTTTAAAAATATATTTTACTCAATGAATATGGATTATAATTCTATTTTCTGAATTAATGCAATGTCTAAGGAACTTTTTTCATATACGTCTTTAATGCGTAGATATACGAGTATACCCATTATTTTCTTTTTCAGGTACACTAGTGTGACGGATCGACATTTATTATAGACATATTTTTTGTAGTGGACGAAGTGTCGTTACTTAGGCAGACATTCTTCTTGAAGTACAATTGACTGGTAATCGTGAAATAATCCAATTAGTCCATGTAGATCTAACTAATTCACTTAATATACGATTTTTTTCAAATTTGTTGATGATAAAACACCCAGTAATTCCAATAAACTCTTTATGTATTGGTAATTCTAAAATGTTTCATATTTTTTCAATATTTGAGGGTAATTCTGAAGTAAGTGATAAATGGGACTGGGAGATATAAATCAACTTTTTATTAACCTTCGTATTAGAGTGCACAAGGAAGTTCGTTCTCCGACTAAATCCAGGATTTTATTGAAGTAATTGACTTAAGAAATGATTATTTACGTAGCACTTATATTGAAATGGCACTGTCTGAGCTGCCAGTACATATTTTTTCCGCTTGATTACTCTTGGTTGGAATGCAAAATTTGGCTCCGCCATCATTGCCCTTTGATGTGGTAATACCACGAGCAAACAACAATATTCCTTGAAAATGAAAATTTGATCAATGTTGTAAATTAAATTATTTCAATCTATTAATCTCATATACGACATGATATCAAAAGTACTGATATTCCTTGAACATTTATGTATCTCATAAATCTGACAAAACGAGATATCAGTATTCTTAATAGAGATACATTAATCGGATTTGTTGGACATAGTCTGGTTTACGGTGTAACAATATAATGAGTCGACTAAATGGAAGTCACATGTAGGGCGTTTTCTTGTGGTTCATATGAACAAATGTTCTGAACACATCCGTACTTTTTTCTTACACATAGCAAAAAAGCAGAGAATCTAGCTGTTAAAATACTCCAAAAGGTTGACATCATATTTAATTGATTAGGTGGTGTTGAAAAATAAACATATTTGTGGTTTAAATGCACCTTTTTCACTTACTTAACTTTAAATTTTACTAAAGTATTCCAAAACTTAAAAGCAACAAAATAATTTAATTAATTACGCGTGAAGTTGTATAGATCATTTATCACCTTTTGAGATGCGTTTTTAAATAGTTCATTTACAATTTTAAGTGTTTTCCGCTTATATAATTTTTCGATCTTTTTATAGTCTAGTTATTAACATGATTTCGCCAACAATAGTACTACGGAAAATGATTTATTGGCGGATAAAGGAAATTATATATGGGAACCTGGAAGAAATCCTGAAATGTGTACGCAGAGTCACTTTTTCAAGAGTTGCAAAAATTATGTTTGATCTCGTAAACTCAAGGAAACTCTCTATAAAATATTCTCAAATAATTTACCAAACGCCAGGTGGCAGCCATTTTGGGTTTTTGGGTTTTGTTTACTCGTGCGTTACGTAATTTAGTGTTTAATTTATTTTGCGGTTTGTTGCCCGTAAAGTGCAACCCTACAAACAATAAACAGTGAATGGAAGTCGTGCACACGTGTTTGAATTATGCCAGTAACAATTGATCCAAATTCGAAACGATATTTCTCTTGCAACGAATTCACAGAAATCGCCGAAAATCTCTAACTTGAACTGTCCGGGACTGCCTAGAACAAGGTGCATGAGTGATTGGGGATTAACTGCTCATCCCTTCTCGAGGATGAGAATGGAAACAGGATAGGGAAGCGAGGATAGTGCGATGGTCGTGATGTTGCTTGAAGTATTCCTACTGCATTCACCGGGAACTTCTGAAAGTAAACCAAGTAATCAACTGATTAAAGACGTCGGAAGAATTCTCCTTCTGTGATTGTCCAACGACAACCAGCTTGTTAGTTGGTGTAGAAAATCTTGCATAGTCGGGACGCGATTAAAATCCCCCCTCCCAGTTTAAGTTTCAATAGTAGACTTGCAACTACATACTTTCTCCCACCTGGTCAATGTTTCCTTAACATCGTTACAAATAAAAGAATCCAAAAACTCTCTCTGCTAAATAACATTAATTTCTAGTAAATGAATCATTCACATTTTATTGCTTTAATAAAAATCAGAATTGCTGATGCGAGAATATAATTTTGTAAGCTTTGACTCTATTACGATGGTATGTGATCTATCTTGGTGCATGACGTCTGAATGGATACTAAAACTGTACTGGACAAATTCCACGTCTCAACAATTCGATTACTGAAATATTTCTCTTACAAGAAGTTAATTACAGTTGAATCTTAACGAAAGTTTCAATATTGCTATTAATCGTTGAAAGGGTGTTTGCAATATTTGTGTCTCGAATATAAAGTTCTACTGCAGATTTGTCGAAAATGTGTAATGAACAAAACTGCTAAAGACTGTACGTGGA